AATTCGAAGCCACTAAAACGCACATGTGAAGGATTAACAGCTTCTGGGCAAACACTCGTGTTTATTATACTACAAGAATTAGGGCATAATGCCAGCGTTTAATGCTGGTACGTACCACTTGCTATAACACTACGAAACTCTGAACTTTTCCCATAGAACATGTTTAATTTTTCATATGGTTCGCACAATAAACAACGATTATTCCCTTATAAGTCGATGACAGTGGGCGCTCGGTCTAAAGCATGAAATGTCTTCGCTAGCTCGATCGTGGGTTCGAATCCCACTCAAGACATGGATGTTTGCGTTTGTTCTGTTTGTGTTGTCCTTTGTAGGTAGCGTCCTTGCGTTGAGCTGATCCTCCCGTCCAAGGAGTCCTGCCTACTGTCTCAGATTAAGAAACTATCTGAAACGAAGCGTTTCGTGGATGCCCAATGCTCCACGTGAGGAACTGGAATGGAACAGATAGATAGACAGAAACCAGACAGATAGATAGATAGATAGATAGATAGATAGATAGATAGATAGATAGATAGTTTGATTGATTCATTGATTCTCTTATACGGCGTCAGCCGGTTGGTCGTCCTCATGGAGACACGATGTTTCCTGTGAGGTACGAACTGACTTTATATATTGCATGTTATTTAGATGAATTTCAGGCTTGGAAGGTTTAATTGTGCGGAGAGAAACACGCATCCAGCCCACATGTGGTGAGATGTACAGATGAGATTACGTTTCGGGAGATGACAAGTTCTGATGACTTTTCTGCTAAATTAAATAGACGAAAGCGCTGACATTTATATCTAACCTTCATGCCATTAAAAGGAATTATGAGCAACTTAGCGAGGCGGTAGTGTTACTGTGTTTTGTGAGTCAAGGTTCGTTTGTTCCGAAACAAGTCAACCAAGCAGTAAGTGCCTCATTCCAAGCAGACGACCCCAGCCTGAAATATGTCTCAATTATAAAATTTCAAACAATGCACTAGCTAGATAAAGATGAGTGGTCAGCTTCACGCTTCGCCTCCTTTATCCCTGGGAAAAGAATTCGCAGTGATCATTGAACAGAAGGATGTACTGGTCTCAGATGCTGTTTGGGCACAATGGAAGTGAATTAACGCGACGCCGTGTGGTCTGGTATAGACGATTCGGAGGACTCTGTTGTCTCTATATTCCTGGTAGAACAAGCTGCACTGACTCGGTGCCATTTACTATTCTTGTTGAGGCACTATGCTGCAAGCCAGAAGGTCGCGGGTTCAAGTCCCGATGAGGTCATTGGATTTTTTTTTTCCAATATACCTAATCCTTCCAGCCGCACTATGGTCCTGGAGTCGACCAAAACTCTAACAGAAATTAATATCAGGAATCTTCCTGGGAGTAAAGGTTGGCCGGCGCGTAAGGCTGACAACCTCACCGCCATCTGTGAGCCGATTATGTACAGAAAATGTGTGGGAGCCTCGACGTCTCACAACCCTATGAGCCTCCACGGCCTGTTACAGGGATAACTTTACTTTTTTACTCCGAACCATGGGCACAGCAGGGTCCTCAAAGGCGCTGCTAAATGCCTCTCAGGCTACACGGTGTCACATCCCAGAAGACTGTAATGTTCATAGTGATCGGCGTGCCATCTCACAGAGAAACCCGTCCCTACTGCGAATGAACGAGCGGCTTTATCCCACTCTTGCTGTGAGTCTTCAGTTTCTGAGCTGAGTTACGCAGCTGTAGGTATTTTTTGTATGTCCAGAGGGAAATTTTTATAGTAGTCTTGTGATGGGGGCGGGCTGTGACCCATGCCCTTCACACTTGTTATCTTGTGGGCTCCCCCTCAAGTGTCTCCTGCACTAATTCGTCGTTTTTGTGGCAGCATTCACATGTCATCTCTGTCCTTCTCTGGGTTATGTATCACATTCTCGGAAGGCAATGAGTAAAAGTGTAGAATGGCGGTTAGGGACGTGATCCGTGCTTAACAAAAGCGACGTAAGTGTAAGTCTGTTCATTACTCTTTTTTTTCCCTGGATTTTTTCGACCTTGAAAATGGAGGCGATACAATGCTTCGAAACCTTAGTGATCTACCATACTTTACTGTGTTGAAATCTACAGAGGTTGTTCTTTTCACCTCAAAACTAGCAAAATGACGAACTGAATAATTTCGAAAATAATCAATGTGACACAATGTGTTTCCTGTGAGGTACAGATTGCATTACTGTACATCACCTAAGTGAATTCTAGGCTTTAGTGTTACCGGGTTTAACGTAAAGTTGTCCCTGGCTTAGTTAAGGACGTATGGCGAAGTGGAGGCATAGCTCCACGCATTCATAACCTCTTCACTGGATGTTCATGAGCGGTCACTTTCACGCCTCGGCCGCTTTATCTTCTCTGGGTAGAAGGGAGAATATCCGTTCATGGGAATCCACACCGATTTCTCTGTCGTCCATTTTAGTAATTGTACTGACTATTGTATATATATATATATAATATTATTTTGTTATATATATTATTTTATATAATAAACAGTCACTTCTAGGACCATATGCCACTCTTGTGCGCACAGAACGTCCCCGTATACGAGCTCTGTCTTCATCGTTTTTGGCGTTGGAGGACATACTCCATCGACATGTTATCACGCGAGCATATTAAGGCAAGAAACGTCAGCATTTCGCTTGGAGACACGACCACAACTAATCAACACTATGGAACAGAGTCCTTTTTGAGAAGATGATAGTTGCCCAGCTTCTGAGGAAATTCCCAGCACGTCATTGAACCCCAAGTTGCATTAGCGTGCTCACGGGAGCCGCCAGTGGTCAGTGCCCTGAATCCACCCCCTGCCGTCTTGTTAGATTAAGATAAATTTCCATATTCTCGCATCCAAGCCGAGGCCCTCATACTGGGACACTGGACCTGGTCCAACGTCCGGTATTCTCGAAAGTAGAGAAAACAGCGTTTCGGAAAACGGATCTGTTTGTCTCACCTACTGGACGATGGATTAAGTCCAAAAAGCCAGTTTATACACCATCGTCAGAACCCTTCAGAATCTACAGGACTTTCCTACCCAAACTCCTCACGTACGTGCTCTGGTGCATGCTACACAACCTGCCTATCTCATCCTCACTGATTTAATCATTGTAATACTGTTTCGTAAAGATTTCAAATTATGAAGGCCATTATGAAATTGTCTCCGTGCTCGTGTTACATGAGCACCGTGCTCGCAAGCGCTCTCAGCCTGTGTTCCTCTCCTAATTCGAGAGACCACTTTTCACATCCATACGAAAGAACAGGTAAAATTACAGTTTTGTATTGTGATATGACACCTGAAAGCCGGAATATTGGAGCCAGTGCAGAAGTCCATTGCTAGCCAACGGCTCGCCAAGCACACGTTCCCGCAGCAACGAACAGACCCAGAAGTCCATTGATGGGCAACGGTTTGGTAAGCTCGTTCCCATGGCAACAACTAAACACAGAAAAACATGATAGCAGAGGAACTGTAAGACATTGTGACTTATATTAAGTTCTCCCCGGAGGTATAAAAGAGTTAGCTCAGTTCATTCGCGAGTGAGCAGTGATTCTTCTGTCATTCGTCACGGTGGAAGAGAAGACACTCGTGGTCCAGTAAGGAATGGAGCGTGTCCTAGGCAGCCATTGATTGTGAGATGTTGTAATTGGTTGTAATTGTAAAGAAGCGCCAATTAGTCCTATTCAGAGCCCGCTATATTAGTCACGCGAACCCCTCATACGTGACAGTATATTTCAGTACTGACTTTTGTTTTACTTAACAGACGGAAGACAAAAGATTCTGAGCAGAATGGCAGCAGGCATTGCCCGAATTTAATTCTCTCTTAATCACTTTATTTAGTTTGTTAATGCCGTTTCCAGATATTTGAACTTGGCAGATCTAAGAGGATCTGTTGGGTAAGCTTTGTGCCACAACCACAGGATAAATTACTTTTATTTTCGAAATGAACCCTCGTCAGTGGTGACGCCGTTTAGTCTGGTAGAAATTTACCAACGTTTTGGAAGTATACTGCTATTTTCTTGTTGCTTTACATATTCTTCCACCTTGAAGATGGAGACGCGGTATTCCATTGAAGTTTTGGTTTTTAAGGCGTCACATCCCTCATAGAGGACTCTCGCTGACAGTGTTTATCTGCTAATGAAAACTGTTTGTAGCAGTTGGCAGGATATACAGAGGGCCGTTTATAAATCGCAGTAACATAACCGAATAATACGGTATTACAGTTCGCATCGTATTAACAAAAGCAATTCTCTTTCCCCTTCCACCACCATATCTTTCTTTGAGGGAAGGGTCGATCGCGGTAACGTAGTTGGTTAAGGCACTATACTACAAGCTGGAAGGTCGCGGGTTCGATTGCCAATGAGGTCGTTATATTTTTCAGTTGACCTAATCCTTCCAGCCGCACTATGGCCCTGGGGTCGACTCAGCCTCTAACAGAAATGAGTACCGGGAATCTTCCTGGGTGGGTAATAGGGCAACCGGCGCGTAGAGCTGACAATCTCAGCGCCATCTGTGAGTCGATTGTCTAGAAAATGTGGGAGCCTCAGCGTCTCACAGCCCCGTGTGTCTCCACGGCCTGTTACAAGGATACAGAGATATTGGGGTTTTCGGACTTTATCCATCGTCCTGGTTTTAAGATAACTAAGAAAAACACGACGTTTCGGAATCTGGATCTGTTTCCGTCCTCAGGTGAGGGAAAACACCTATTCTGTTGGGTCCCTTAGAATCACTGGACGTCCAGTGATTGAGGCTAGCTCTTTCTTCCGAAACGTCGTGTTTTTCTTAGTTATCTTAAAAACCAGGACGATGGATAAAGTCCGAAAACCCAATATCTCTGTGTGTTATACACCATCGTCAGAATCCTATAGTAACTACTTGTTACAGGGATAGCTTTACCTTTCTATTTCCTATTCTTTAGGCCAGTGATTGTACTGGCAGTGTGACATGTCGTTGTGTGTCTGTCATATTATTGATTTGCCCTGTGTCCTCTCTTTCAGACGTGGTTCTTCACAGACTCGGATGACTTGGAGTACCAAGAAAAGACAAGTAAGTTCTATTTCACAGTTCTCATGATGTGACTGCATAGCGTGGAACGGCACGATAGCTGGAAACTGTTTGGAAGGAATCTGTTGTGGCCTGACTGAGGTACTGTCTCAGCGTATGAGTGGAGGAACTGAGGGAAATCATGAAATAACCGGCGTCACGGCTGCACCAATCCGCTTTTTCACACGTTTCATTCATAAAGGGTGATTAACTCTATAAGGAAGAGCTTTATAAATTGTGCTCTTTAGCGTCTTATTAGGTGGGATAAAATCAAGAAGGATTAGATGGACGGGACATGCAGAACGCATGGAAGCTATAAGAAGTTGGAATTAATTTTTAGTCTTGAAACCATAAGGGAAGAGACAGGTTGCGATATCTGGCGTAAGTGGGAGGATAATATTACAAATGAATTTTAAGGAAATAGGGTGTAAGGCTGTGGACTGGATTCATGTGGCTCAGGTTAGATGCCAGTGGCGGTCTCTTGCGAGCACTGGTTGAACTTCGAGTTTTACAAATGGCGGAGGCTCACAGCTAACAGTTAGGTTAGGTTTTACAGTGGCCACGATGGGATTCTTGCGAGCGAGATTTCTAATACGGCAAAGAAAATATAATCGAAATTTTTCATTTATCGTTGTAGTTCAGTTCACTTGCTGTTTTTTGTGACCTGTGGTGCTCTTTAAGGGCTAGGGCACACCGAGGAAACGGCAACGCAACTCGCGGAAAGACCGAGAAACTCAACTTTCAGGCAACGGAGCATGCCAGTCTTCTCACAGTTGCGTTGCGGCGCGGTTTCCCAGTGTCAGCTGTTCCACGTGGTAGAATCATTAAGTTCGTGGACTGTGGTTTTATCGCATCATATTACAAGGTATTCACATACACTTACACAGATCCACATCGGCCCTCAAAATAGTTGCTGTTGGCCGCTATGCAAGTCTGCCAACGTTGATATAGCTGCCGAAAACATTGCTGAAACATATTGGCAGTAAATTCCCGTACGGCGCTTTGCGGCCATCACGCAAACTTATTGACCGTGGTAGTGTAACGCGCGTCAGTGATTCATTTGTTTCTTAAGATGACATGAAAGTTTGACAAACTTGCAAATTTTGTTTTTGTGCAGTTAATTGAGCAAGAGCCTGGTATATATGACACGCGCCACCCAGACTATGCTAGGCAGTGCAAAATATTAGGAAAGCATTTCTCAAGAGAAGGAGTCTGGATCCAGGTTAAGTCCTTTCGAAACAATATAAGCGCTTCATTTTAAATTGTAACAGAAGAACGGATGCACCCAATGTTTTCTTTTCATAATATTGTGTTTAGGCATCCTGTTGCATTAATATATAATTTATTCCACACATATTTCCGTGTTAAATAGAATTTATTACATAGTCGCCCTTCTTCCACATCACATGGTTCGGCTGTACACGGCCATCATCAGGTGTCTTCTGTCTTGCTAAAATTGTTGCACTGTATGTCAGAATTTCGTATCGCGTGTGAACGTGATATTTCCTGATTACAATAAACTGACCTTAATTAAAACAAATGAATTAACATCCCAATATTTCCCTTACTGTGTTCGTCCTCTCCTCTCAGGCCGTCTCAACCGGTCTCAACCACCACCACATTATGACAGGATCAGTACTGTTATCTTCCCTTGCAGAAGGTAAGTGCACGAAATTAGCAAGTACAGTCATGCATTAAGTCGGACAAACATACCCACTTAAGATGACGTAACTAATTAAACATAAGTTTCCTCAGTGTGCGCCTGCTAATCTGGAAACCAGTTGCCTGCTTGACATTTGCGACATTTCTCGGAAATTGCGGTTGCCAGTTTCCTTGGTGTGCCCTCGTCCTAGGAGACTGGACTAGAATGCATCCAAGCGAAGACATTACCGGGGCGACTCGGTCCGTATATTGAAGCTGTAACTCATCTTTTTTACTTACGGATTTGTCACAGTTATCTAGCGTCGTGTAATAAGTGTACTTTACAAAACCATAAGCTTGTTATTGAGTAATTGATTTAAAAAGAACAATTCGTAACAACAAATTAAAAAATTTAAACGAAAACAAACGGGCTCTACTCGAGTATGCGTGATGTTGGCAAAATGAGATTCCAGTACTGCCAACTACACTTTCTTGTTATCAGCCCTAAAGATCAAGGAAACTGTGTCTATTGTTATTTTTTCTGTGAGTCAGTTAAAGGAAGTGAGGCAGAGATTCACAGACAGAGAGAATTGCTCTTAGGGAAGTGTGAGATCAAATGGTGAAACGAGACGAAACAAAGGAGAGGCGAGGGGCGGAAGTTGAGGAACAGGTGTGAATGCAGGATAGGCGTAATCTTACTACGTAGGGAAATAAATTAAGGAAATGAAGATTGGTTTTATTTGAAATGAAGATATAATTATTTCAAACCAGTGGTGGGAACTCATAATATTGCGTATGTGATTTCCATTGCTGCTTGTTTAGTAGTTGTTTAAAATGAAGGTCATTTTCTCTTTGTTGCAGATGGTCACATGGTCAATACCAACTGCTCGTCCTCACACAATAGGTGAGTCCTAGTTGTCATTCAGACTGGAACGAAAACATTACATGTGTAACGACGTCGATTCTGTTCTTGGGTTTTTGCGCTGGGTGAATATGGGTAGTTACAGACGTTTCGGTTTTACATACTGCCGCCTTGTTCAGGGTCGAAGTACGAAACACTGCCCACATCCACACGGTTCAGAGAGCCAAAAACACAATCAACAGCAACAATGAACCAGAGTCAAAACCTGAAATCAGTAATTTTTAATGAGGTCTCGCGTGTTCAAAACTTTTTCCAAAAAACAAGGAGCAGGGCACCAGGGAGTATTGAAAGACTCAGAATTTATTGGGCCGTCTTTCTTTATGACTTCTCATTTGTCTTCTTCCTCGAGGCCTATGTTAATGGACTTCAATTAATTAACATTTTATTATCTGCAAACAGTACTCTATAATGAGCCAAGTGCTATGTCAGAGACGAAGCCCTGACCTAGAAACCGAGGGTGTTTGTGCTGTCTGATAAGGGCATACCTCAGTGGTGAAGACATATGAATATGAAGCGATGGCAGAAAGATGATTATCAGGGGCAAAACGAATAAATTCCAAGTGAAACCTTCATGACTGCCACTTAATTCACCGTGTCGCCCGGTGTTGAACTGGAGGGTCTGGGGCGTGAAACCGGCATCTCACATCACTGAGCTATGCCACGTCAAAAAATTAAAAATTGTAGCCTGTATCTAATGGCGAGATGCTAATGTTTTTATTGTTTTCTAGGAAGGCGCTGTGCTGCAAGATGTCTGTGGAGTTCGACGTGTTCCTGGAGACCGGAAAGAAGTGAGTGTTACACATTCATACTGTGTCCTGCATCCCCTGCGAGGCGCGATACAGACCAGCCCCACACTACCTGAACATCTGACGCAACTTATTTCATGCTAGGCACACGAAACTTACCGTGAAATTACGCGTTAGGTGGTATTAACAGCTCTACATAGATCGCTCCATTATTGATGGGCAGGTTTACCCCACAGTAGGCTAGGATATTACCTCTATACCTTGAGTAGGCACCCTTATCTGTGTGGCAAATAAGCTCTCTGGTATGGGGAGATCTGGTTCCTATCGCATGTTTAAAATAAGGTGATTCTAAATTATTGTCGTGGTTTGCGTGGCCCATCTGTACATGCTGTAGTTGTATCTGTTACCCCAGTTGGAAGATATTATTTTTATTATTATTTATTTTAACTGTAAATGGGTTTTAACCTGATGGCGGTGGTACTACAGTAAGACACAACACACAAATAACACACATCACACAAAATAACACACAAAAATACACAAATAATAAAGGACACGCTACACATAACGAATACAATGCAAATGCAGTTACAAGTACAACAAATACAATTACGACTACAGTTATATAAATTAATATTAATAAAAATGAGGCATGCTATAAACTAAAGAATAACAAATGAAATACTCAATGTCATGAACTGATGCACCCACATTTCACCATGAGCTTCCCTTCATTCTACTTCACTACACTTGCGTATCCTTCACATCCTCACCACAATTCACTTCACTTCACTTACTTTACTGAATTTTTCATGATTTCCCCACATACCTTCACTTCGCCTTATTTATTACTTTCCTAATCATTTTCCTGAAATTACGTGGTTTACAGGAGAGAGTCCCTAAAGCATCTGCAGGTAGTTTGTTCCAGAGCTGGATGGTCCTGTTTACAAAGGAGTATTTTTCGATATTTTTCTATTGCTTTCTGCTCCTAATCATCAGCCGAATGAGGTGTTCCAACATGATGGTGCGCACCTTTCCCCACATTCGGCACGTGTTGTCCGAGAATTTCTTGACATGCATTTTCCTGGGCGCTGGGTTGGGCGTGGTGGACCAATTCCTAGCCTCCGCTCTCACCCGATATTAGGGCGCTTGATTTCTTGCTGTGGTGACACGTTAAGGACATTGTTTACAAGACCCCTGTGACCTCCATCGATGAACTGAAGCTCAGAATTGTTGCTGCTATCGAAACATTTACACCGCAAATGCTGGAGAACACTTGGAGGGGAATTGAATACCGCTTGGACATCTTACGTCCCGCGAAAGGTGCCCATGTTTCAGTTGTTTAGCATTGTGCAGTATTATTTCTGTAGGCAATACAACTTCTTGGGTTACACTTTCATATTCCGCAATCATTTTTATTTCATTTTATCCGCTTTGAAAATTATAGGCCACGGAAACTCCGTTGGCACTACAGCCCCAGTGGGCCTAGGCCTACCTCCATGAACTTCTCCGTTCACTTCGGTTTTTCTAGATCTTACACATTCGGTAGGATTCCTTGAGCGGGTGATCAGCTCTTCGCAAGGATAATTTAGAATCACCCTGTAGAATATAGGAACTTCCTAATTACCGAGTGACTATCTCATGAAAACACGCTCTTAGAGAAGTTTTTAAGACATGACGCTTCCCGACCGTGATGCAGGTGGTCCTGGAGACAGTAAAATAACCACCAAAGCAACCCCGTACAAGTGGCTGGAGAAATATAATCACTCCTACTCTTGTTTCCGCCCTAGACCGTTGACGGTTTTCAGTCTTGTAATTGTAGCGACATACGCACGGGGCTGTGTTCTGTGACGCGTGAAACGGCACGCCGCGTGCAGATAGCAGGTGGCCAGCGGCCGGAGGAAAGGTGGCCTGCCAGGTGGGTCAGGTTACCTGCAGGTAGGCACTTCGTTGCAGTGTTATCAACCGCTGCCATGTCAACACTAACTGCGCCGCCATAGCAACGGTGTTGTAATTGCATAAGAAGTCTGGAAACACGGAACTCCAACGCAAACACAATTTGTGCTGTGAAGAAAGCCGTCTTCCTCCGAAACGTCGGTTAACACAGTTTCTACACGGCGCCACATCCCAGAAGACGGCTTTCTTCATAGTCACCGCCGTGAAAACCTAAAATCTTACACACAATTTCTTCTATTCACGTAATATTATTAGAGGAAAAAATGTATAAAGTTGCCCCTGTGCTTAATTATTTAGGCACTACTCCATAAAGATATGTTGGGAAGTGGAGGTATAGCTCCACCATTCTTGACCTCGGCACTAGACGGATGTGAATGGTCAACTTCACTCCCCGGCCGATGTACCCTCAGAAAGAGCCCCCGGTGCCTGTTGTTCAGGAAGTTGTGTGGGCCCCAGATCCGGTGTGGATGCTGTATAATAGAAAAAGTCATCCTGTCCCTGCAGCGAATCGAACCCCGGGTTAACAGTCATGTGGCTCGTCCCTATACCGACTGCGATATCCTGGCCCCTCGTATAAGTCGTGTCACGGATTATGAAGTTCGCAGTACACGAGTTGTGCACGGGGAAGATTAAAATGTATACAAGCGTTTGTGTCTGAAATTTGTAGTACATCTTCCGAGGCTAACCTTCGATCGGTCGGCCGGGTAAATCGCTTCTGGTCATCGACAGCACAGTGATTCTTGGCTACGAGTCATGACCGTATTTTACTGTCTCACGACTCTCGAAGCCTGAAGTTTATATGAATAAGATACAAAAGCTCAGTTCGTACCTCACAGAAAACACTCCAGGGAGGTAGATCATTTTGGATTCATTCATATGCGACGGATGAAACTTGCAGCATCCAATTCGCGGTCCACGCGGCCGCAGAGTGTGACATACAGTGGGACACGGAACCAGGGAATTTTTTTCTTTCCCATTCAACAATGGTCACACTGCTGTAACCATAACAACGGCACAAGCCTTCGATTGAATAACGAGGCCAGCGGAAGTACGGTCTGTGACAGAGGGAGCGGGGAAAATATTAGGAACCCACTTCAGGGGCGTGTTCTGTCCATTGTCAGTGGCGGATCCGTAAAATCGATTTTAACTTCCGATGTTCCTGCCTTAAAATCAGGTGGCAGAGGTGTACAGAACGGTACAAACAGAACTGCAACATATCCATCCCGCTGAATATTTAGGAAATATTTTAAAACCGTGCACATAACAATACAATATGCAGTGCAAATATATGTTTGCCCTTTTAACAACAATTGTAACTATGTGTACCACCTGTTCCAACATTCAGAAACTCTGCATTCTGCCCACACAGTGTATTTATGTGTTCCGTATGGTTCTCACAGTAAACAGCGATTATTTCCCTAAACAGCATTAACCGGTTGGGCTCTGTAGCGGAGACGTAATGTGTTTCCTGTGAGGTACGCACTGAATAGGCCGCGCCATAGCTCAAGCGGTTAGTCGCTGGCTTCCCACCGCGGCGGCACGGGTTCGATCCCGGGTCTCGTCAAGTGGGATTTGTGGTGGACAAAGTGGCGCTGGGGCAGGTTTTCTCTGAGTACTTCGGTTTCCCCTGCCAATCTTCATTCTACCAATTGCTCCACAATCACCCTCATTTATCATCTGGGGCTGGTACAATAGGCCAGAAGTGGCCGCAGTAGAAGGGACTTAGTCCCACCCCACTATAAAAGAATACAGACTTTACGAATATACTGTTTGCTTAAATGTTGCATGGCGCACCTCCCGTGTGGAGGTTGGTTCGAATACCTCCACCGGAGCCCTGCGAGTCGTAGAAGGCGACGAAAAGGGAACCCAGTGCTTGGGGGTATAACTGGGCCACCCTGTTCCGGGGGGGATATAAATACGGGGACCTGGTCCTCCAGGTTGGGCGAGTCTCGAATCTGAGATAGTAAAATATGGTCATGAGTCCCGCGGGACTCGGACCTGAAAATGACTCCGTTAGCGAGGAAAGCAGCGATTGTAAATGGCAGACCCGTTCTATCGTCAGAGGGAGTGCGCTCGACATCAACAAACCCGCAGCTGACAGTAATAAAAATCTGGTAGTAAGCCCTAGATGGCTGCTTTATTCCAAGACCGACTGACCGACTGACCGTCGGTCGTAACGTAATTTTTACTTTGACATGTGCATGACTTCCATGGTCGAAAGTAACGTACGAGGCCGTTGGTTCAGCATCATCCCCACCCTACATTTCTCTAAATTTGTCATCTCCTCCCCCCTCATAGCATTTCTGCAGTTTCTGTTCTCACTATCTATCCGTCTTTTTCTTCAGAATTCAAAGTGTCAAGATTAGTGTACGTGTAGGTTTATGTCGGTGAAAATTAAATAGAATTAATTTTTATGACATATGAAACGCAGCGACTGCCAGTCATGTTTGAAAGATGCGTGACTCTCTTGTTTCAGTTCCTCTCTCACCCCCCAGGTATTCTCAAGGTATACAAAGAAATCGAGGGGGTGGGAGGGAGTGAGCTGCGCAAGCGCAGCTGCTCACATCGCCCGAGCAGATGCGGGTACACTGTGCTCCGCCATACCGCGCGCACGGCACACAGTGGCATCGAGGCAGTAGCCGATTAGATCTAGAAATCAGGGCCCCAATGACACAGTTAACACGCTATTATACCTTAAACCCTCGCTAATCTGGAGTAATTGTGTGTGTTTTTTTTTGGGGGGGGGGTCCGGATTAGTGAAGCAAAAGGCAACCCTAAAAGACAAAAGAACGCAAATAAATGGAAAATGTAATATAAGTGGTGAAGATGAAAATACGAGTAAATAAAATATCACTGTAGAGCCTTTATTTAAAAAACTACAGAAAGACAGTACATTTATTCATCGATAGAAGACTCAGAAGTTGTATTTGTTTTTGAACGTAATAATGCAGGTTTGAAGATACTGTCTCAAGTTTTGTCTGAACAGACAAGTGACTCATCTGCCTTCCTGAATATCATGTCTTTTTTTTAAGTATGTACTCAACTGTGAAAGTATTTTTCATATTTCGATCCGGATTAATGAGGAT